TAATTGGTATTATCATGGTTTACTTGTTTCCAAATAATAATTGTCTTATTATCATGGCTTATTTGTGTCCAAAATATGTAATTGTTATTATTATGGTTTTACTATGGTCCAAAATATTTTATTGTTTTTATCATGGTTTTTCGCATGTCTCAAATATGTAATTGATATTATCATTGGTTACTAGTGTCCAAAAACTGTAATTGTTATTATGATTGGTAGGCCTAATTAAGTCATGTCCAAGGTATGTTATTGTTATTATAATGGTTTTACTCATGTCCAAAATATGTAATTGTTTTAATCACAAAATATGCAATTTCCTTATCATGGTTTTACATGTGTCCCAAATATGTAATTGTTATTATCATAGTTTAATCCACTTGTTACTATATATAGTAACAAATTCGCCCATGATCTCAACTGATTATGAGTGTCACGTGACCTATTATGAGTTCGCGGCCCGGGGCCGAGAACTAGTTTTATCCTGTCACTTGTATCAATTTCGGCCCGATAACAAGGTGCCGTATAATTTTACTGATCTACGGCACTTGATCACGTGGTATGCATGTTTGCCGGACTACTTTTCAGGAAAAAAATTAAAAATTGTCGTTAAATCTTCTGTGTGTAGAATAACGAATTTTGGAAACGTTGATAAAACTTTATTTGTTTATTTTATTTCACTCTATAATTTTTTCAAGCGAAAAAAAATTATTAAAAGTGAAATAAATGTAAAACTTTAACTCGTTTGCGACATTAAAATAGCGTACTTGATTTGATTGTTTTTCACGTGCTGTTTGGCGCTACATTGTGACGTCACGTAAACAATACTTTAAACGTCTGTACAGCGTTAACGACTGAATAAAAGATCTTGGTGTTCGAATTCATTTTCTTAGTTAGACCATTTTCTTTCATTCTAGATAGTTTTCACAACAAAATTCGACAAAAAATATTGTTTTTATTTATCACATTTTTCAAACAAAATGGCGCCCTCAATGAGAACATACACAGGGAGATAATAAGAACGGCGAGTGCATTGTTGTAGAATAATGCACGCTTCAGGCTTTCTTTGTTTATATAGAAACATTTCCGATAGTGTGATTAAAGGTAGTTTGCCTAATAAAATTCTTTAAAAAAACGGTGACAGGATAAATAGAATAATAGATTGGTGCCGTGGATGGAGAAAGTTTATCTGGCTCTGCTCGGGAATTTATTGGGTTCGCCTTCGGCTCACCCAATAAATTCCTCCGCCTCGCCAGATAAACCTTCTCCATCCACGGCACCAACCTATTATTCTCTATATCAGCCCGCTGAACATGTGCACATGCTCAAACTGAAACAATGACGTCACATTTTACGTCATCAAACAGTTAACTGTAAAAGTGAAAGTTACTAAGGTTTTAAGCATGAATCGCTTGATTTTATTATGAGAGCTATTCAAGGGGTTTTTTGTACACACACAGTTTTATTACTATTGAAATTTTAAGAAATAATACGACAAATTCATTCCGAAAAAAAATGAAAATAAAACTTAATTGCTTCTATATACTACTGTATAGTATAAATTTCTATACAAAATATAGTTAAATATATATATATATATATATACATACTTTTTTATACATGAGATCCACACAAGGAATCGAACTTCTTTTTATATATATATATATATATATATATATATATATATATATATATATATATATATATATATATATATATATATATATATATATATAAACTATACTACAGTATAGTAGTGTACTTTGAACATACAAAAAACCTGTAGAAGTTACTGTACTGTACAGTAGAAATGCAGACAACAAATTCAACAACAGAAATTGCAGTATTTTTATTAGAAAAATGCAACTATTAAATCTACCAAGTGTACATTAAAAACACGTCTTAGTTGTGTAGAATGTGATAATCGTCCCTGAAATGAATAATGCCCTCAGGCTGAAGCCCTCGGGGCCATTATTCATTTTGCGGGATAATTTTCACCTTCCAACCGTACTCTGCCGTGTATTAATCTCTTATTGCTTGTGTTTAAAATAATTATGTTATTGTTATTATGCCCCCACTTCAAAGAAGAAGGGGTATATTTCTTTGCATTTGTTGGTCGTAGGTCCGTAGACCAAATGGTTTCCGAATGATAACTAAAGAACCCTTAGGCCTAGGAACTTCAAACTTGGTGTGGTGATTGGTCTTGACCAGTAGATGACCCTTATTGATTTTGGTGTCAATGGGTCAAAGGTCAAGGTCACATTGACCTTGCAGGTAAAAACTGTCTCCGATTAATAACTAAATAACGCTTAGGCTTAGGATCTTTAAAATTTGTATGGTGATTGGTCATGACCAGCAGATGACCCCTATTGATTTTGGGGCCAATGGGTCAAAATTCAAGGTCACATTGACCTTGTAGGTAAAAACGGTTTCTGATCAATAACTAAAGAACACTTAGACCTAGGAACTTCAAACTTAGTATGGTGATTGGTCATGACCAGCAGATGTCTCCTATTGATTTTGAGGTGAAAGGTCAATGTCATATTGACCTTATAGGTAAAAAACTGTTTCCGATCAATAACTAAAGAATGCTTAAACCTAGGAACTTCAAACTTGGTATGGTGATTGGTCATGACCCCTATTGATTTGGGGTCAAAGGTCAAGGTCACATTGACCTTGTATGAAAAAAACGGTTTCCGATCAATAACTAAAGAACGCTTAGGCCTAGGAGCTTAAAACTTGGTATGGTGATTGGTCTTGACCAGCAGATGACCCCTATTGATTTTGGGGTCAAAGGTAGGTGAAAACGGGTTCCGATCAATAACTTAAGAACGCTTAGGCCTAGATACTTCAAACTTGGTATGATGATTGGTCATGACCAGCATATGACCCCTATTTATTTTTGGGTCAAGGGGTCAATGTCATATTGACCTTGTACTTAATGATGGTTTCTGACCAATAACTCAACAACTCAAGTTGCCTTGGTTGATATTACTAAAAATGCTTTTGGAATGCACATTTGAAGGTCTTATGTAATATAACAACTTGGCTGTCATTAATTAATGAGGCCTAAATGATTCATAAAATTTATGCATATATTATTTGGTAAGGTTTGTAATAACTTAAATTGCTGCACACAACCTATGGGGTCACAATAATTACTACGTAGTGACTTGTCATGACCAGTAGATACTAGATAACCCTTATTAATTGTTTGTTCACTGGGTCAGACGTCATGCATAATAACCTGATCACATGACTAATTGGCTGCCGATAGGCGGCATACATGTTTTACAAGCATATCATGTTATAATGGTTTTACTCGTGTCCAAAATATGTAATTGTTATTATAATGGTTTTACTCTTGTCCAAAATATGTAATTGTTATCATCATCATTTTGTCATCTTCTAAATATGTATTGTTTTGTCTTGTGCAGCCGTTATACTACATGTATTGGCGATGAACATTGTATATATGTTTAAACCAAATAAACATAGAATTGAATATAGAAGTTGTATATGTTTTTTATATACACATAAATAAAATTCTGTGAACATCATATTTTAGTATCCATACCTATGAAATAACCCTTGATTTTCTTACATTAACATTAATGTTTCATCATGTCCAGGAAATAATAATTAATTAATTTTAAAGAATTTACGTATCAATTCCTTCTATTTAAATTTGAGTACAGTAGAACCCATACTTAAGACCATTCTTGATTTTTAAGACTACCCCTCTATTTAAACCAATTTTCAAAAGAGCGGTATTTTCAGTTCTTTATTTTAAAGGTTACATGATCTACATTAAAGACCGCCCCACTTTTCAATTTTTAAGACCACCGTGTAGTTTTAGTTTCAATTCATTGTTTTATTCTTTATCTAACCCCACTATTGAGACCACTGATAATCCAGTCGATCTCTAAAGCGTAGTTGTTGTCTAATGAGAAGAATTATAAATATGAGATTTGTGATCGTGGATCTGCATGGAAAAAAAACAGTCTAAAAGGACATATGACTATACACACTGGTGAGAGGAATCATAAATTTGATACATGTGGTTTTTCGTTTGCACTGTTTAGAAGCCTTAAAGCACATTTGGCAAAAGTACACTCTGGAAATGAGACTAACAAATGTGAAATATGTGACCATATTACTTAAAAAAATCTTAGTAACATAATTATTGTGGTGACTTTTCAGTTTTGAAGGTGAAGAAGGAAGACCTGATGTGTCCCTTTATTTTTTTTATGCACGAAATAGCACCCGAGTAAAACTAACCTGCCTGGATATCTTCCTTACATAAAAGTCTAACATATTTTGTTTGGAATATATAATATATCACAATTAAGGTAATTGTTTCAAGCTTATATTAATTGGGATAGTGTAAAAATGATTCTTGAAAAAGTGTCAATTAGGATATTTCTTTCTACCTTAAAATACCTTTATACATAATAATATAAATATAACCCTTCTAAATGTTTAAATTAAGAGTAATTCTTCAATTTTGACTGCACGCTCCTGGTTGACTTGCGTTCCAGGTTAAAATTTAAAAAAATGTAAACATATTTACACTGTGTTTGTAAATTTTGTAATAAAATATGTATGTTATCATGTGTCTTTATTCAATCACGGATTTGTAATATAAATCCGTGATTCAATAAAAGCTGTTTTCGTATAATTTTCCAGTTTATATAAATAAAGTTTAACTTATCTACAATGTGTAATGAAATTTTGGTAATTAAATATTTGGTTTTCATGTGTTTTTATTCAATAAAAGCTGTTTTAGTATACATGCAATTAATTTATGTAATTAACAAAATGAAATATAGAATGGAAAAAAGTATTCCATCAACAATTTGAAAACAGGAGTGAAAAAGTTCTTATTTGAACACGTGGCGAATCGTTATTTAACTGTGGCGAATAGTTTATACTCTGTGTCGAATCTTAATGTGGCGAATCGTTAGTGTGGCGAATCGTTACATTACCATCCATAATTCTCTCCCTTTGAAAATTTTGCACCATTTGTAACGATTGTTCACCGTTTTTGGGAATGAAGAGTTTTTTCAGTCTCAAATACTGGCAAAGAGGTTTGTAATGCAGAATTGTTGTCTATTTTATTGTCTTTTGATGACAATCGTCTGAGAAGTATTGTATTGCTACTTTTAGAACCAATTTGTTTGATTTAATATAATTTTAGGTCTTAAAATTCGATCGTATTGACCTTTCCGAGAGTGAGATTGGAGCATATGTTATATTTTTATTCTATTTTTTATTATATTTTGTTCTCTTTTTTTATGTACATAATTATGTTCATAACATTGCCATTTCAATTATGTATCACTTTACTTTGTTTTGTTAACATTTGTTATATTGTTGTTTTCTCACATGCCCAGTTGGGCCTTGAGATATCAATAAAAACTTGAAAACTTGAAACTTGGAGCGCCACACTAAATACCGTGTTCCGGTATAAACCGGGCAAGGAGCTTGAATCATAAAATGCTAAAATCTTGCCTTTGACCCAACGGAATGAACTTTAATAGGTCAAATTCATCTTTTCATACCGATTTATGTATGATAATGAATGAAAATATAAAAATCGGCGAAAAAAAACCCGATACTGGCGATAGGCCTATTTCTCTATTTTGTGATCATGATTTCTGCAAGCGTCTAGAGGTACTGCTCCAATCCTGTAATGAGTTAAATCCCCTTTTCGAAAGGAATTAACTCAATACAGGATTGTTTGTAAAGGAATTTCAACAACTTAATGCAATATCATTTGAAGTCAAGCTATATACACGCAGATATTACTTCTAATTTCTCTTATTTATGAGGGTTTATAAAAAGATATCCAGATAAAAGATAAATCAAATTTTTTGAAGTTCTACAGTTACTTGCATTGGATAATATTATTTTTTATTCAGTACATATCATATTCATAATTCACCATCTGAAATTTAGTCCCAATCTGTTTGATTATAAAATGTGAAAATAACTTTTATATGCCTTTTTAATCTGGTTCTGAATAAGACACAATTCTAGATTTTTAATTTGCTATAGCTTTGGTTAGGGTCTGTCAAAGAATGCATAGGATAATCTAAATTCTTACTTAAGTTACTAGTCCTAAATTGATATGCCAAATTACAAAACAATGCTTCTTTTTATCTTTCTTTTTAATTCATGACAATTACTAGTATTTGAACAAAACTTTTTTATAATAACAACAACAAATGGATGTGATGTCAAGTCATAACAGCAAAAATTGTAGACTTCTTGCAATAGCTTAAAACGTTGTCATACTTATCTATGACCACACTCAATTAAGGCTTTACAATATTCAAATGCTATTAGAGTCATCAAAACTACTTCAAGTTCAAAGCATACAAATGTAATTTTAAAGGAATTTTCTTCTGTTCTATGTTGTAAAATTTAAAAGATAAAGAACTATAATACTGTGAATTCATATTATTACTTAATGCAACAATAAGCTAAGTCAAGTAAGACTAGCTTTGCACTAGTGATTTTTTGTGTGTTGAAAAAATGATTGGTGCAAAACTCATACTAACTTGACTTAACCCAGTTTTGCAGTAACTAATTTGATCAGTTTGACTTAGCATGTTTAAAATTTAAATATAATTATTAATATATGGAATATGTTCAACATATTTTCAGGGATAAAGCCTTAAAAGGGATGTTTAATTAGCTTTCAGAATTTATCAAAAGTCCTTATAGGTGAAATATGGACTTAGCTGAGTTTTGCGCTGAGCCATCAAATTATTTAAAAAGTTTGTTAAAATTTGTGATTTTTATGATGGGGTTTGTATAAAGAGCTATAGATGATGAGTTTATTTGGAACATGGTTGTACTGATACATATTTACCAGTACCACTGTACCAGTGCTGATACATATTTACCAGTACTAGAACTGATACATATTTATTATCTGTCAAATAAACTCAGATATGTATGTATATTTATTATGAATGATATAAAAGAGAGATACCTCTTAATTTGACTTATAAGGATCACCATCATTTGGTAAGGATTGTAACTATTTATTATTACACAGCAAATACAAATGTATGATATTTTTTGTGCAAAAACACTAACTGTTTAAGCTTCACGGTGCATTAGTAATCATTTTGTAAAAAAGATTAAATTTGAATGAAAACAGCCGTTACAGTGTGGAAATATAACATTTAATTTTGAATGCTACCTATAGCTATGTTTGTTGTTTTAATATTGATGTATGGATGATCAGAATGTGGAGTTTCTCATGCAAACAGAAATTGTACTTCTGATTTAGCCACAATGAGGTTTCAGGTTTTTACGCTTTGCTTGTCTTGACATCAAAATAAGATCTAGAGTCGATATGAATACCAATTTATTAAAGTGGCATTATGCCCTTCCAAGGGTATATAGTGAATAAACGGGTGAAAGTCGAAATAACTTTACATTTTGCCATAACTCCTTTCAGTTTTCAATTTATTCCGCATGAACAATAAAAAAACTCATATAGCTCAGAAAGTTTTGTAAATATCCATCGGAAATAACATGTAACGTTCAATTTGATGAAAAGAGTGGGGCAGTCTTTATATATTTTAGGCAAATATATATTTTATCCCCAACTTTTTTCTTGTATCAACTGTTGGTCAATCATCATTATTGTCAATCTTTTGAAATTTAAGCTCAACTTGACATTGAAAAAATGAGCATAATGTCAATTTAATAAAATGTCGGTATTTCTGTTTTATGAAATTTATTAATTGCAGTTTTATAAGGTATTGAACGGATTAACAGAGTTTCCACTAAAAAAATATATTTTTACAAATGTTTACTAACAGTTGCTTGTTTCTTTCTTTTTATCTAAATAGTAACAATCAAGTGGTACCAGTAGAAAGCAACAACAACAAAAACAAAAACACTGTTGAGCAGAGGTACAGATACAATATGTGTGTGTGTGAAGAAATCTACTGTTTGTGATTTGTAGAAGCATGTGCGAAACCAGTTTGTAAGAAAACCAGTGCTTTGGACCATGTGATCATTTATTTTCCTTACTGAATTTTCTTAGTGCATTGAAACGTCATCTTTACAAACCAGTGAGTTAAAGTTTTGTTTGTGAATATTCTTGTATTCGAAAATGCGACCTGAAGAAACACGTGGCTGAATATCCAGTTAAAAAGAATTATTTTATCAATCATTGTAGAAAATAAGAAACCTCAAAATACATCTGTCAATACAGTGTGTCAGTGTGTTTTAAATCATTTACTTGTAGATTCAATCTTCAAGTATATATAACAATGTCGACTAGTAAGGAAAGTTTCAGATGTAAAATATGTGATCGGTTTTTTTCATCTAGTAGTAGTCTTAAACAACATATGACAGTACACACTGGTGAGAAGAATCATAAATGTGAAATATGTCATAGTTCATTTTCTAAGAGCAGTTATCTTAAACAACATATGACAGTACACACTGGTGAGAAGAATCATGAATGTGAAATATGCCATCGTTTATTTTCTCAGAGGGCTTCTCTTAAACAACATATAACAATTCACACTGGTGAGAAGAATCATAAATGTGAAATATGTCATACTTCATTTTCTAATAGCAGTAATCTTAAACAACATCTGACAATACACACAGGTGAGAAGAATCATAAGTGTGAAGTATGTCTACGTTCATTTTCTCGAAGAGGAGATCTTAAAAAACATATGACAATACACACTGGTGAGAAGAATCATAAATGTGAAATATGTCATCGTTCATTTTCTCAGAGAAGTAATCTTAAAACACATATGATAGTACACACTGGTGAGAAGGGCCATAAATGTGAAATATGTCATCGTTCATTTTCTTATAGAAGTAATCTTAACCAACATATGACAATACACACTGGTGAGAAGAATCATAAATGTACAATCTGTCATAGTTTATTTTCTCAGAGCAATGGTCTTAAAGAACATATGACAAAACACACTGGTGAGAAGAATCATAAATGTGAAATCTGTCATAGTTCATTTTCTAACAACAGTAAGCTAAAAAGACACATGACAATACACACTGGCGAGAAGAATCATGAATGTCAAATATGTCATCATTCATTTTCTCAAAGAGGTAATCTTAAGCAACATATGACAATACACACTGGCGAGAAGAATCATAAATGTGAAATATGTCATCATTCATTTTCTCATAGCAGTTCTCTAAAACAACATATGACAATATACACTGGTGAGAAGAATCATAAATGTGAAATATGCCATAATTCATTTTCTCGAAGTGGAGATCTTAAAAAACATATGACAATACACACTGGTGAGAAGAATCATACTGGTGAGAAGAATCATAAATGTGAAATCTTTCATAGTTCATTTTCTCAGAGCAGTAATCTTAAACAACATATGACAATACACACTGGTGAGAAGAATCATGAATGTAAAATATGCAATCGTTTATTTTCTCAGAGCAGTAATCTTAAACAACATATGACAATTCATACTGGTGAGAAGAATCATACATGTGAAATATGTCATAATTCATTTTCTCGGAATGCAGAGCTTAAAAAACATATGACAATACACACTGGTGAGAAGAATCATCAATGTGAAATCTGTCATAGTTCATTTTCTCAGAGAAGTAATCTTAAACAACATATGGCAATACACACTGGTGAGAAGAATCATAAATGTGAAATATGTCACCGTTCATTTTCTCATAGCAGTTCTCTTAAAAAACATATGACAATACACACTGACGTGAAGGATCGATCTTTTAAGGGTCGTCAAAGCCGACATAGGCATATGAATATCCATACTAACAAAATTATATATAAATGCAAATATTGCATCTGCCAGTGCTCCAACAGTTGTGAGATGAAAAAACATACGAGAAGGCATAAAAAAGAGAAACTTTATAAATGTGATACATGTGATAAATCATTTTTAAGGAAAAAAAATCTTGAATCGCACGTTGAGATGCACATTTAAGTAGACAAAAATGCATGCAAACCGTTTTAGCACTATATCTATCATGCATATCGTATGAAATGCTATTAACTCTGGTATACTGCTGAGACCGGAAGACATAAAAACACAGCAAAAAAAAAAGAAAAGAAAAAAACAGGTTACACAAATTATGTACAGTACTAAAAACTGTTGAATTTGAATTTAACATTCTTCTGTTTTGTGTTAGTTTTAAAGATTTACCATATAGATAATTACAAATGTAAATATACTATGTATATTTTTCTTTAACCTCTGTTATTATGTCACAAATTTCCTCGTCTTTCCATTTGTATTAGTATGATTTTTTTTGTTTGTTAGATTAGGTTTTACGTCACATCGACACAGTACAGGTCATTACACGACGTTCCAGCTTTACTGGTGGCCGAAGACCTCAGGTGTCCTTCCGTGCATTATTTCAGGCACAAACGGGCACCTGAGTAGAACCACCGACGTTCCGTAAGCTAGCTGGATAGCTTCCTCACATTAAAGAATCCAAAGTCCCTGTCGAGATTCAAACCCACAGCGGTTAGTGGCAAGTGGTTTGAAGTCAACGACCTTAACCACTCGGCCACGGAAGTATAATTTGTAAACCAAAGACAGTTCCTATACAATTATGATTTGTATACCAAAGGCAGTACCTAATAAGGCTATACAATTATGATTTGTATACCAAAGGCAGTACCTATACAATTACCTGTTTTTCCACATCTTTTCCATTTATAATTGTAATATATTATAATTATCATGGTTTACACGTGTCCAAAATATGTAACATTCATTATCATGGATTTACTGGGGTCCAAAATATGTAATTGTTATTATCATGGTTTTACTTGTCTCCAAAATATAAATCTTTATTTTCTCGGTTTACTCGTGTCCTAAATATGTAATTAATTGTTATTATCGTGGTTTTACTAGAATTCAAAATATGAAATTGTTATTATCATGCTTTACTCATCTTTCCAATTTGTATTGTTTTGTCTTATGCTTCGCTAAGTAATGGATACAGTACGAGTTTTTCTTCAAAAGTGTCTTCTTACAGACATAAGAAGACAGTTTGCTAGGATAAACAACAAATTTCCCGAGGCGAAGCCGAGGATAAATTGTTGTTTGTCCTTGCGAACTGTCTTCTTCTGTAAGAAGATACTTTTGAAGAAAAAACGAGTAATTGTATCCGACTTACACGACGTTTAAGTAAAAAGAACAGATCAATTAATAAACACATTTAATTATGAATAAATCTAATTGAAATTAAATGTATGTTCAGGTTGAAAATATCAAACTAGAGAAAATATTTGCATGGCCTTTTAGCTTTTGTAAGCAAATTGTATTCGCTTGGAATTTTCGTGCGCTTGTTATGCTCCACGAAAAATTTCGGGGGAGCATATAGTCGTCGTGTTGTCCGTCCGTCCGTCAGTCCGTCCGTACGTACGTCCCGAATTCGTGTCCAGCCCATAACTTTGTTATTTGAAGTCGGATTTTAAAAATATTTCACAGAAATGATCACCATATTGAGACGACGTGTCGCGCGCAACATTTGGGTCGCTACCTTGAAGGTCAAGGTCACAGCATGACCTTGCAGCAAAATCGTGTCCGGTCAATAAATTCATTAAGTCGGATTTAAATAAACTTGAACAAATAATCTTCAGGATACCCTTAAAAAAACCAGTCAGTGTCCGGTCAAATAAATTCATTATCTGCTAATTTGCTGTCGGATTTTAATGGATTGTCTTCAAACTTGAACATAATAATCTTCAAAGATAACTGTTAAAAATATACCGAAAGACCTTGACCTTCACTCATTAATGACATTTATAATAGCATCAGCACAGAATGAAAATATGTTTTACATATGAGATTTTCTCAATCTATTCCCTCTAGTATACGCTAGCTATTTTATACTTTTTATTGAATGAGTCAATGTAGATAATAATAAATATAGCATATTAATCCACAATCAATATCATTTCGTGTGCACATGTGTACTTCATACATATTCAACGAGGTCGATGTTTGAATTAAATATAAATCTGTCCGATTTTAAAATCCTTAACCTGTTACCACATGAGCATATTGTGAAAAATGGCCGTTTTCATTGAAAAGCCTCCTGTTACAAGTTCAAACGGCTATGGAACTATAAAAAAAATGCTTCAATACTGATAAAACTTGGCTGGACAATATATTAGCTTTTGTAACAGCATGTTCAATCTAAAATTTTCTGTTACCATGGCAACGGTGGGACGTCTCAAAATTGCGTAAAATCACTCACTATTTTCCATTGTTTTTTCCCATCATTACTGTTTTTTAAAGCGCTGCAACTCTCAATGCATTGAGGTAGAGTAAAAAAGGCTTTTCAGCGTTGGTTACACTTAACCTTTAGATCGATCTGAGCTGTCACATGTCCACAATTTTCTTGGCGATGAGGAGGACTGCCGCCCTCCATTTAAACCCCAAAACAGAAAGGGTACACATCCCCTTTCTGTCAACCCGGGCCATTGGTGTATTATTTTGATGGGGGCGCCAAAAACGTGATCACATTTTTAAACAACATTTCTCAAACGAAAAACAGTCTTTGCATGAGGTCTAAATAAAGCTTTTTTCAATGTTTGAGGCCTCAAAATGAGGGGCGGGACAAAAGGCCGTCAAAAGACGTCTTTATGAGGGAAAAGGTTAAATATACGACATGTTTATGATGATATTCATATCAAAAGATTGAAAAAAATGAAAAGGCAATGTTAAATTTGAAAATATGCGTGGTCCGGAAATACGGTCCGCCCAAGTTCTGGTGAAGGGTTATAATTGTGTCTTCCACAAGAACCAGAAGCTGTATCGGACGATCAAGGCAGAAGGTATTGTCATGTCATATCAAGATAAGCAGGACAAACATGAATATCTCTGTTTTATGTTTGTTTATTTGGTGTGGATGCATAGAATACGAGATGTTGATACTTTTGAGTTTATTTCTATGACTGTTAATAATATGAAGTTAATTGGTCAGTACACTAAGTAGATGGGCTTAACAATCAAGAATAAAGGAATTGCATGTAATATATATTTAACGTAGAATTAAATATGACACAATATTATTTTATATAGAATTAAATATGAAAAAGTTATCGCCTTTTCTTCCCAGTGAGAAGATCCCGCCAGCTGAAAGACCAGGCTATCGAGGTTGGTGGACTAATATATTGGCTTAATAATTTCATTTTGTTGTTATGATTTATCTAACTTTATAAGCTAAGAAAATTTTAAGCGTACATATATAATAATTCACTATTTTTTATTTTCAAAACAAAGGAGATGTAGAAGTATGTACTTATAATTCATTTATGTTATCACTATAGAAGAAAGTCTATACTTCCCATGATTCTCTGTAACATGCGTTCCCGCCTAAATGTATGCAGCTCCAGCGCACTTGGTATTAGTAAATTAAACAGTCAAGACACAGAAATGTGTTAGTTGTTTATACAATGACTTAGATGTCATTATAATATTATGGACTATTGTCTATACAAAGTACCAAATATTATACGGTAGTTCGATGAAACCACTCTCACCCCTGTCTTCCATAACTTTATAGTCACTGTTGATGCCGTTGTGGTGGTTTCGGTACGAATCGATTATGTATGAATCATATTTAGTTTAGACATGATTGACTCCCTTTGAAAATTTTGCACCATTTGTAACGATTGTTTGGAAGAAGAGTTTATTAGTCTTTAAAATTTGGCGAAATAGGTTTGTAATACAGAATTGTTGTCTATTTTATTGTCTTTTGATAACATTTGTCTTTGAAGTATTGTATTGCCGCTTTTTTAACCAATTTGTTTGATATTTTAGGTCTCAAAATTCGATTGAACAAAATGACCTTTCGAAAACCTAGCTAAACACCATTTTTCGGTACGTTACAGTACGGATTTAGCTCTGTGGTGAAGTACATAACACTATTAAGTGATATTTTCATTTTTCTTGATGTGTTTGAAATTTATTGATGTTCCTGTACTATCTATCGCACATTTTCCAAAAAAAAGTTTTCTATACTCAGGCAGTAGTATGATAAAATTCTGTAGAATTAAAAAGAGTCGTTGTTACATACATGTAGATGTGCCATAATAGATACAGTAGAGATATTTTCTGCAGAAACTTTTGTATTTATTTTTTTGTTTGTATTGAATTATTCATACAGTGATATTTAATTATTTTCTTACTCAGAAATAATTGTTTTATTACACTGTAGTTTATTTAAAAAAAACCCCAAAAACATACAGATTTTTACTACATGTACATGCCCTTTAGATGGATTCCCCAGAGTTGTACGTATACAGAAAGTACCGGAAAATGGCAATTAGCTAGATTTTCGAATTCCTGAATTTTTATCTTTTTAGGTTTCATGTGAATGCAAACAATGCAATCGAATTACATAAATGAACTGTATTGAACTCTGTGTACTATCTTTGTCATTCAGCCATAAGCTTGATACCCTGGAAGGGTATAAGAATACCAGTCCACCGTTTACATTTCTTATTTAGAGATAAAATAAATTATCTAAAGATCCAATCTGAATCACTGCAGTGAGTCATCATGATGTATATGTTTTAATATGATCTTTCCTGTTCTTTAAATAGGCTGGTGAAACTTGTGACATAAAAATCATATTTCTAGAAAATTAATGATGCTATTTCTTTAGATTGTTTATATGCCATAAACAGAAAAAAAAAGATAAAACTAGAAGTTTGCTCTTAGTCTTGTTGTTGACTTTTTTGACAATTGATGGTGGCCATTTTCAGACCAGACATATTAATAGTGAGCTATAGATGTACCATATAAGCACTTATTTCTGCGGACTTAATATTCTGTGATTTTTGTTAAAATAATGGTCTTTAAATTTTTGCGTATCTTATTTCTGTGGTGTTAACATTTTTGCATTGGTGCGATTAATTTCTGCATTTTAATTAAGATATTTATACAAAATCAACCAATAAAACAGGCAACATTTCAAGATTTGTTGATGTTTCATTACTTCTGACAACTTATTAATGTGTCTCGTCATAATCTTCATGTATGGGTAGAGAAACATGTACAACTACAAGTTAATAAACAAAAGACAACAACAGTTACATTCAAACACAATTTGAATAAGAGAATGTCTCTCATTTTTTTAAGTCTACAAGTGCAGGTAAATGTGAAAAAATAAACAATGACAAAATCACACATAACAACAAGGATTTGTACAAGTACAAAAGAGTATGTTTATTGCAGGTTTTTTTATGGTACTAACCAACATGTGTCATTGTTTATCATTTATTTTTATTTCATTCATTTATTTATTTATTGGCAGTCAGCAATACATTTGCCTTTGGCCATTTACAAACAAACAAAAAACTTATGGCAAAGACTATTATATACATAAAAAACATAGACAAATAATGCAGTACAATATACGATCAGAAGACAGGTAAATTTTCAAGGGTAATTTGATGTAAACACAATGCTTCTTTAATACACTTTGCTAGATTAAACATATTTTTTACTTTTATTTGACTTCAATGCATCAAGTGTTTGATAATGATATTATTTAATATATTTTAAAATGAGAAAATTAAAACAGTCGTATAAACAACGGTAAAAGTGCATGTGCAGAGAAAATGATATTTTCTAATCTTTTATTCATGACAAATAATAAATAAAGATTTTATAAAGAAAAAATCCCAATACCGCTATTCGTAAGGAGATAGGGTAAAGTAAGTAAACAATACCGATAGTTGAAACATTCCGACATGTACATAGGGAAAGGCTTAATTTTCTGCTGTTTTTAAATCTGCGGTGTTGTTATGAACCGCAGAAATACCAGAAATAAAGTTCTCACTGAAAAAAGTACTTGTACAGTATTTGAATCATGATGAGTTTATTTGGAACAGGGTATTATCTGTCAAATAAACTCATATATGCATATTTATTATGAATGATATAAAAGAGAGATAACTCTTTATTTGACCTACCTCCATCATTTGGTAAGGATTGTTACTATTTATTATTACACAACAATTACAAATGTATGAGATTTTTTGTGCAAACACACTAACTGTTTAAGCTTCACAGTGCATTAGTAATCATCTCATAAAAAGATTAAATTTTTATAAAACATCCGTTACAATGCAGATTTATACCCAGTTAAATTATGATTGCTTCCTATATCCATGTTTGTTGTTTTAACATTAATGTATGGGTGATCAGAAGACGGAGTTTCTCATGCAAACATAAATTGTTCTTCCGATTTAGCCACAATGAGGTTTCATGTTTTTATGCTTTGGTTGTCTTGACACCAAAATAAGATCTAGAGTTGATAATAAAATGTCGCTATTTCTGTTTTCATGAAATTTATTAAATGCAGTTTTTGTGTCGCCTCTGCGGAGTAGTGGCAACATATAGGGATTACTTCTCCGTCGTCTGTCTGTCCGTCCGTCACAAAACTTGTCCTGACTACTTTTCATAAACTACTAGTGCAATTTCATCCAAACTTTACAGGAATGATCAGTACCAAGTCTAGTTGTGTACTGTCCGTCTGTCTGTCCATTTGTCACAAAACTTGTCCCAACATGAAATTGGCCATCACGAGGCGACGCATGTGATCACTGATCGCTCTTGTATAAGGTATTGAAAGGATTAACAGAATTTCCACAAAGTTAATATATTATTACAAATGTTTACTAACAGTTGCTTGTTCCTTTCTTCCTTTTTAAACAGTGATTACCAAGTGGTACTGGCAGAAAGCAACAACAACAACAAAAACACTGTTGAGCAGAGGTACGGATACAAATATGTGTGTGTGAAGAAATATGTTGTGATTTGTAGAAGCATGTGTGAAACCACTCATAAAAAAAACTATTGCTTTGAAAATTGTGATCATTTATTTTCCTTCGTAATTTTGTTAGTGCACTGAAACATCATTTTTACTAACCAGTGAGTTAAAGTTTTGTTTGTGAATGTTCCTGTATTGGAAAACGCGAACTCAAAGTTAAAAAGAAATTATTTTATCAGTCATTGTAGAAAATTAGTAACCTCAAAAATACACTTGTCAATACAGTGTGTCGGTGTGTTTTAAATAATTTCCTGGTAGATTCAATCTTCAAGTATATATAACAATGTCGACTACTGAGGAAAATTTTATATGCAAAAATATGCGACTGCTTACTTGAGGATAGCAGTAGTCTTAAAATACATTTGACAATTCACACTGATAAAAAGAGTCATGAAAATGCAATATGCCACCGTTCATATTCGCAAAGTAGTCATCCTAAAACAAATAGAACAATACACATTGAAGATATGAATCATGAATGTGAAATATGTGTACACAAATGTCATCTTAAAAAGCACATGAAAAAATACACTGGTGAAAAGAATTATGAATGTGAAATGTGTGAATATTCCACTTTGCACAAAGGTGATCTTAAAACGCACATAAGAGTACATACTGGTGAAAGAAATTATCAATGTGAAATATGTCACCGTTCATTTTCTCATAGCAGTTCTCTTAAAAGACATATGACAATACACAATGGTGAGAAGAATTATCAATGTGAAATATGTCATAGTTCATTTACTCATAGCAGTAATTTTAAAAGACATATGACAATTCATACTGGTGATAAAAATTATGAATGTAAAATATGTCAGCGTTCATTTTCTCAGAGCAGTAATCTTAAACAACATATGAAAATACACACTGGTATGAAAATACACACTGGTGAGAAGAATTATAAATGTGAAATGTGTGAATATTCCACTTTGCACAGAAGTAGTCTTAAAACGCACATGCAAATACATACTGTTGAGAAGAATTATGAATGTGAACTTTGTCACCGTTCATTTTCACAAAGTGGAACTCTTAAAACACATATGACAATACACACTGGTGAGAAAAATCATCAATGTGAAATATGTCATAGTTCATTTTCTCATAGCAGTTCTCTTAAAACGCATATGACAATACACACTGGCGAGAAAAATCATAAATGTGAAATATGTCATCGTTCATTTTCTCGAAGAAGTAATCTTAAAACACATATGAAAATTCATACTGGTGATAAAAATTATGAATGTAAAATATGCCAGCGTTCATTTTCTCAGAGCAGTAATCTTAAAAGACATATGACAATACACACTGGTGAGAAGAATTATAAATGTGAAGCATGTCGTACTTCATTTTCTCGAAATGGGTATCTTAAAAGACATATGACAATACACACTGGTGAGAAGAATTATAAATGTGAAGCATGTCGTAGTTCATTTTCTCGAAGTGAGGATCTTAAAAGACATATGACAATACACACTGGCTAGAAAGAATTATAAATGTGAAGCATGTCGTAGTTCATTTTCTCGAAATGGGTATCTTAAAAGACATATGACAATACACACTGGCTAGAAGAATTATAAATGTGAAGCATGTCAAAATTTATTTTCTCGAAATGGGTATCTTAAAAAGACATATGACAATACACACTGGCTAGAAGAATTATAAATGTGAAGCATGTCGTAGTTCATTTTCTCGAAATGGGTATCTTAAAAGACATATGACAATACACACTGGCTAGAAGAATTATAAATGTGAAGCATGTCGTAGTTCATTTTCTCGAAATGGGTATCTTAAAAGACATATGACAATACACACTGGCTAGAAGAATTATAAATGTGAAGCATGTCGTAGTTCATTTTCTCGAAGTGGGGATCTTAAAAGACATATGACAATACACACTGGCTAGAAGAATTATAAATGTGAAGCATGTCGTAGTTCATTTTCTCGAAATGGGTATCTTAAAAGACATATGACAATACACACTGGCTAGAAGAATTATAAATGTGAAGCATGTCGTAGTTCATTTTCTCAGAGCAGTAGTCTTAAAACGCATATGACAATTCATACTGGTGAGAAGAATTATAAATGTGAAATATGTCATCGTTCATTTTCTTAAAGAGGTACTCTTAAAACGCATATGACAATTCATACTGACGATAAAAATTATGAATTTGAAATATGTCATCGTTCATTTTCTCAAAGAGGTACTCTTAAAACGCATATGACAATTCATACTGATGATAAAAATTATAAATGTGAAATATGTCATCGTTCATTTTCTCAAAGAGGTACTCTTAAAACGCATATGACAATTCATACTGATGATAAAAATTATAAATGTGAAATATGTCATCGTTCATTTTCTCAAAGAGGTACTCTTAAAACACATATGACAATTCATACTGATGATAAAAATTATGAATGTGAAATATGTCATCGTTCATTTTCTCAAAGAGGTACTCTTAAAACACATATGACAATTCATACTGGTGATAAAAATTATGAATGTGAAATATGTTCATCGTTCATTTTTCTCAAAGAGGTACTCTTAAAACACATATGACAATTCATACTGGTGATAAAAATTATGAATGTGAAATATGTCATCGTTCATTTTCTCAAAGAGGTACTCTTAAAACACATATGACAATTCATACTGGTGATAAAAATTATGAATGTGAAATATGTCATCGTTCATTTTCTCAAAGAGGTACTCTTAAAACACATATGACAATTCATACTGGTGATAAAAATTATGAATGTGAAATATGTCATCGTTCATTTTCTCAAAGAGGTACTCTTAAAACACATATGACAATTCATACTGATGATAAAAATTATAAATGTGAAATATGTCATCGTTCATTTTCTCAAAGAGGTACTCTTAAAACGCATATGACAATTCATACTGATGATAAAAATTATGAATGTGAAATATGTCATCGTTCATTTTCTCAAAGAGGTACTCTTAAAACGCATATGACAATTCATACTGGTGATAAAAATTATGAATGTGAAATATGTCATCGTTCATTTTCTCAAAGAGGTACTCTTAAAACACATATGACAATTCATACTGATGATAAAAATTATGAATGTGAAATATGTCATCGTTCATTTTCTCAAAGAGGTACTCTTAAACAACATAATTGTGACAATACACACTGGAGAGAAGAATCATCAATGTGAAATATGTCGTCGTTCATTTTTTCACAGCGTTAATCTGAAAAAACACATGATAGTACATGCTGGTGAGAATTTAAGAATCATAAATGTGAAATATGTCATCGTTTATTTTTTCACAGCGTTAATCTGAAAAAACACATGATAGTACATGCTGGTGAGAAGAATCATAAATGTGAAATATGTCATCGTTTATTTTTTCACAGCGTTAATCTGAAAAAACACATGATATTACATGCTGGTGAGAAGAATCATAAATGTGAAATATGTCATCGTTTATTTTTGCACAGCGTTAATCTGAAAAAACTCATGACAATACACACTGGTGAGAATTAAGAAGTATGAATGTGTAATATGCTATCGTTCTTTTACGAGTAATTATAGCCGAAATAAGCATATGAATATCCATACTAACAAAATTACATATAATGCAAATATTGCAAATTTCGAGGAGAAAGAAGAAAACATACGAGAACACACACAAATGAGTAACTTTATGAATGTGATACGTGTGGGGTTCTGTACATATAGCGCAGACAATCAATTACTTGATATGTTCAGCGGTTTTATTTCATTTAATGTGATAAACGAAACAAGAATTCAATCTTATATCTCTTTTATAAAATTCATTGATAAACTCCTCAATTGATAGACTATATAATGATATTTATTTCGACCTCTTACTATTTACCACATTATTATTTACATGCGTGTAAAAAAATAGATAACTACATTATATTAATGTGTGTATATATTTAAATATCTGATTTCCATACTGTAACCATAGATCTTCGTAATTATTTGCATTGTAATTGAATATTTTACTTGTTCCATTATAATTGTATAATTGTAAAAATGTGCTCTTCTTTTGGAGGAAATAAAGATATTATTATTATCATTAATAAGGAAAAAAGATCTTATTTAAATAAAATTGCACGTTGAGATGCACACTTGAGTGAATAAAATGTCGTGCAAACCGTTTTAAATAGCATTATATAAATCATACATATCGTATGAAATACTATAAACTATGGTTCACTGCTGAGACCGGAAGACATAATGCCACAGCAAAAAAATAGGTTATGTAAATTATGTACAATATCAAAGAACTGTTGAATCTGAATATTGCTTTCTTCTGTGCTACATGATAGATTTGTAAATTTAACGGATAGATATTATATATTAAAGGGGCAATTTCTTGCGTACAATAGTAAATATTACTTTTTTATACTTTGGGTTTTTTCGTATGTTGAAATGTCACAAATAATTTTATGTAATATCATATCTCTTTCTTAAGATAGGGTTGTTTTCATTATTTTTCAGTTTGTCAATTATTAATTCCGTAGTCATTTTAATGTTAAGAAGGAAAATTGTTAATCCATACGAGATTTTTATATTATTGCGCGCACGTGCGTGCGTTCGTGTGTTAATTTGTGCGTGTGTTTCGTTTTGTTTTTTGTTTTTTTGTTGTTTTTTTTTCTCACTTCCACCTGTAAATCAGTAATTTCTAACCATTCTCAGGAAACTTTCCGGAAAATATGTATTATTAAAGGCAGACTGTGTGGGTTTCTAATGACTAATTAATGTTTAGACTGTTTCTAATGTAATAACTTGTAGCACTATACCCATTTGCACTATACTTCTATGTACATGTACATTTGTTGTTTTTTAGCTCACGTAAGCTTTAAGGGTCGTTGAATGTCCGTCGTCCACCCACATTTGTTCGTTACCACTCTAGCGGTCACATTATTGCCTTAATCACCATTTTGTCAGGATGCTTGTCTAGGTAATAGCTTGGATGAGTTCGAACATGGGTAATCTCAGATGAAAAACTAGGCCACGGGAGGTTAAAGTAGAAAAACCTTGTTAACACTCTAGTGGTCACATTTTTTACTTAATCGTGATGATTGAAACAGAAATTACATAATTGAATCTATTCAGGCTTTATAATACAACATACATATAAATATAAGCAAAAATAAGCTTGCAGCCTCACAAACATCATTCTGATTTCGGAAATTTACATTTTTTTATTCAAATCTTTTCAACAGTATTTTAAAAAAAAAAACATATTCTTATAATCTTACACCGGCTGCCGGTACAGACCGGAATATCTAGCTCGAAGGTGACTGTTTACGGCGGTAACGAGGGTCTGCCGAGTTTCCGCCGTAAACAGTCACCCGAGAGCTAGATATTCCGGTCTGTACCGGCAGGCGGTGTTTGATTCTTTTTCTTGCATATACATATTAATCATTTTCAAACAGAAATTACAAAAACAGATATTCTCATAACGCACTTTTTACTTATAGTAGCGCATGAACTGACAATTTCATTCATAACGGTTAAGTGACGTCATCCTAAGAACGCAATTCATTCATAAAAGGCTCGCGTCAATGACGTCATTTAAAACACGCGAATTGTCTTACATGGGGGTGTAAGATAGAGTTTTCTAGCACCGGTGTTTACAAACGGTAGATAATCCTGTCTGATATGCAAGAAACTATACTGTAGACTATTATGTAAGGATAGGTACCACCTTGTCCAATTCCATTTATTACGTCCCTTTTTTACCCTCGTTTAAAAAGTTTTGGAAACTTAACACAAAACACTGTACTGAACAGGCATATAATTAAGAAATAATATATCCCAAACTTTGATTTGTTGCTCAATAACATCACTGTTTGGAGTTCGGATGCGGGGAATTATATCACGAGGGCGTAGCCCGAGTGATATAATGATGCGCATCCGAACGACAAACAGTGATGTTATCAAGCAATATCAAAGTGCTGCAGCACTGAATGCGACGGACATGCAACCGGAAAGACATTAATTAATTTGTTCCATACAAGTTCGAGATTTGTAGAGCAATATATTTTGTGTCCCAAATTGATATAATTCAGATTTTCTACTTTCAAGCACTTAAATACAGAATGAAGTTTATGCCTAAAAACTCTGGTCAAACTTGTAAATCAGTGTCCTTATCGATTTATTCTAAGAAATGATATGTAAATAGAAAAAAACTATCAACGAAATATTTCTAGAATAAATCCAGGCAAATAAACTTTAAACATAATACAATTTATACATTTGAGAATGCTATTTAGAATTGCTTCGTGTTATATCATAGTGGGCATACAGACAATAAAATATAAGTCATTTGTATTTGTATTTCTCTTGGATATGTCTCATTAAAAAAAAATGGTTAAAATCATCAGCAATTAATAGTGTATTTCTTAGATTTTTTTATTTACAAGGTAAAGATGTAGAGGCCAGAGCACATCGTTTTTATTTTAATTTAAATGTCACTTAAGCACTACAGTGTTTAGTTGTCCTTTTCAACTTCACACTAAATTCCATTTTCAACTTGTTTG